CCCTCCCCTGTGTTCCCACCACCGCTGCAAGTTGCAGCGGCAACTCTCTCTCTCCCCTATGTTTTCACCACCACTACAACATGCAGCAGTGGTGGTTCAATGAGTAAAAATATTTAATTATAAATTATTTTTATTAATTATTAATTATTTTAATATTTTTATTAAACATTAATTATTTTTTATTAAATTTACTTGTATTATTAATTATTTTTATTAAATAGTAAATTTTAATTATTTCATTAATTTTTATTTGTTAAATTATTAATTATTTTAATATTTTTATAGTCATTAATTTTTTTTTTAATTTTAATTGTTTCATTTATTAATTAGTAATTATTAATTTTTTATTTTTTATTTGTATTGTTTCAATATTATTTTGATGTTGAAAATTATTTTCTTTGAGATAATGCAAATTGAACTCAACATTTACAAATAGTACATTGTAAGGGTAAAATAGTAAAATCAGTAAATTTCAAATGGTAAAGGGTTGATCCAACACAAACAAACTTATGGATTCAGATCCTCTAAAAAGAAAAAAAGCATATATGCCTCTTTTCAGATTTCAGACACTTAATATCTCTTTTAACTTTTCATATCTGAATTTTAGATTTATCAAAATGCTACATTAATCAATTAATTAAACCATAAGAATAGTTTAAGAAATTTATTCAAGAATAGTTATGACCATCATGTCGTGCCCCATTGAAAAATTATAGTTTATATGAGAGGGCATTTGACAAATGGTTTGGTAGGAATAGTTGATGGGGAAGTAGATCCCAAGTGCATACAAACTCTCAACAAAAAGGGGCATTCCGAGAATCGAACTCGAGACCTCTCGCACCCAAAGCGAGAATCATACCACTAGACCAAATGCCCAGTTTATATGCAATGTTTTTATATCGTTATTAAGATGGGCTTAGGCTGACATCAAACCGATCAGCTCTTCATATCACTGGTTTAACGATTCAATTGACAAGTTAAACACTGATTACACAAATACATAAAGTTGGTCACACCTGGCAACCCTCGAGGATGAAGAGGTACAATCCGATCTGTCTTTTACTAAAACACCCCTTATGATTTCATGGATTTATTAAATAAAACCTACACTATTGTTTGTGTCTTACTAAAACACTCCTTATAGTTTGCAATTGATTTATTTAGGTCCCGTTTGGTTCGTAGGAATAGGGGTCCGGAATTGGAATCGAAATGGGCTATTCCGGTTCCAACTGTTTGGTTGGGTGGAATCAGAATCTCATTCCCATTCCTTCTGGAATGGCATTCTCCCATTTGAGGGAATGGCCATTCCCTACCCCTCCCTTGGGAATGAAATCTCTTTCTTGTTGATTTCAATTCTCATTCCCATTCTTGTCTGAAGTCAATAGACTATGGGAATAGACCATTCAAATTCCGATTCCAACTGCGAACCAAACTGACCCTTAATTGACCTTCTATTAGATAACAATGGAAAATGACAATTGTGACCTTAATGCCTATTTGAATAAAATTAATCGAAAGAAAATAAAAATAAAATACCATTTTTGCCCTTAATAAGACATAAGAAATCACTCTATTTGGTTCTATTTAGTCAATTTTGTTTTTTTGTATGAAGAAGTGTTAAGGGTGCTTTTGAAATAAATAATCATGGGTCCATGCCCTTGAACATTTTTTCACTCAGTTTAGGTGATTATACTTTTATTTTCAGATGGCAAAACAAACACTTCTTAGTAAAAGATCGATTAAGTAAATAGGTTGCAAAGTATAAGAGGTATTTTAGTAAAATAAAAAGTATAGGATAGATTTAGTAAATCTATGAAACTACAGGGGGCGTTTTAATAAATGACCCAATAAAGAATAATAATGTATCCTATCCATTAGTAAAATTAGTAATAATGGGAGTATAAATCAGGGTGTATCTAGTATTTGGGGCTAAGATTTAATGAATGTAACCTCTTATGTCACCTTAGCTTAATAATTCATAAATGAAAGAGAGTTCGAAAAGGATGTTTTTCATATAAAAGTACTGAAACATGATGGGCAAAACTGATGGATGCATCGGGAGTCTTCCGTGACATGTGGATACCATTTCACTTAAATGGAAAATTCTATAAAACAATATGAGCTTATTTTTTATGTATGGAGCTGAATGTTGGGCAATCAAAAAGTAGCATGTACAAAAGATGAATGTGGAGTAGAAATGGACCAGGTTCAATCCAATTCAATAAATATTTTGGACCGGTCTAATTCAATGTCTGGAGTTGGATCATCTAATTTGTTCAAAATTATTTTAATTTAGAGTAGTTCTGACCCAAACGGCCAAATCTGGTCCATTGACACCTATATATTCTTATGTTCTATCAATGGACCAGATGATATTGGCTCAATCCAACCCAATTCAATATAAATTCATTACAGATGGACCGGGTCCAATCCAATCCAATAAATACTTTGGAACATTAAGTCTGGACTGGTCCAATTCAATGTCTTTTTTTGGTCTGTTCAATCTGTCCAAATTGATTTTGGTTTGGATGGGGTCCAATCCAAAACCGGTCCATTGACACCCCTGCATATGGATGAGTGGTAAAAGTAGGAATGATGGGATTAAAAATGAAGTCATATGAAGAAACTTAGGAATAGCTCCAATGGATGATAAAATGAAAGTAAATTGAGATAGTTTGATCACATGCATAGATGACTATATACAACACCCGTTAGAAAAAGTGATATGCTATAAACCAATAAGGACTTAAGAAAAAAAATAAGAAATTATTTAAGTACAATTTAAGAATAAATATGACATTGAACATAATGGAATTGTGAATTGTGAATATGACATGATGATGATGATGATAGAGTAAATTTGATCTGAATGATGTACAAATTTACTAAAGCATCATAGCTTGGTCTCATAAAGTCATTTTCAAGCCATTATATTCATGATATACAATAACACTTTCATTATAAGTTTATTTTATTAATAACATAATATTCTGCTAATTATAGTTTAATTTATTATTGGTATTGGATATCCTGATCTGAACCCAATGGATATGTTTTGTATGAAAATATGAATTTTAATAAATAAAATTTAGATCCAGATATATCAATTCGATCTGAACTGTTTGTGGCCTTATCACTTCTAAGTCATTTCCCATATCCAGATTGAAGAATGACAAGCCACCAATCCACCATAAAAACCTAGAAACTCACTGCATGTGAATTTAGGGAAGGAGCGGACAGAGCTTCTCATTGGAAGGCAAATGGGACACAGGACTTAATCAAGTTTCCTCTAATCTCTTGGAGAAAAAAATGTTCTTTCTAATCCTCGTGGGTTTGATGTTTCAATGTCAATGTCAATAGTTGTACCACTTGGGCTCCCACAATCCCACTCTAGTTACCAACTCATATTCATGAGGTTCGAATCGGACTCAAAATAGGTAATCCAATCCAGAGTTTGGGTAAGGATTGGGCCTTGGATTTTATTGAAATTGAACATATTGAGCCCAACTTGTAATACATGCAATTGTTATGTCGGGGCTAATTGGGCCCACAAGATATGACCCATCTTGAGGAATTGACATTCGATTGGGCCATTGGACATGGACCATATTGTCCCCAACTTACCGATTCAATTTAGGCACATATGATGTTTGTGGGTCCCGCAACCGAGAGAGAGAGAGATGTGTGTGGCCCCAACATCACATGTGCGGTTATTAATTTGATTAAAACCGTTTTAACTACTGTTATCGTGAATAGTGAAAGGAATGGTCAGACCGTCCGGTCTGATTCCATTGCATATATAAATAAGGAAAAAATGGAGAGCGAGAAGAGTTTGAACTCAAAAGAAAAACGGTGGAAATTGAGAATTTGAGAGAGAGANGGGACAGGGGCGTTGATATCTTTTTTGTCTGAATTCTGAAAAGCAGGGGAATCCTGAATCCATTTGTGGTGATCCATAAGTTACGCGACAACACCAGCCATTTCCTCCAACCTTATTACATATTTGAATAAAATTACAAAGACCAGATAGATTATAGATACCCTCATTTTGGTTAAAATATCTTTATATCACATGATATGTTCAGTCTCTCATAACCTTTCTAATCATGTCATGTATTCATATCTTTTTAAGGACCAAACTGCTCTTTCTAATCAAATCTTCATACACTTCAATCTAGTATTTTACATTTTTAGTTTATTGGTGTCTATGACATTTTTTTTAAACTGACACTTAAGGTGATAAATTTCTTTTGATTGTTGGTCATTCTATTTTTTTTTTTTTTTTTTTTGGAGGGTGTTAGGCGAGGACAGACAGTGTCGGAGATATACAAATGGTGAAATGGGGGCATAATTATAACCGCATGAGGGAGCTATTATTTGAAGAATGAATATTCCGTATATACAATGTTTTAAAAATCGATCATGGAATCGTTTTGGCCATCAGTTTTTGGATTGATGGTTTAACCGTTCGGTTTTAACAAAAAAATTGTAAAAATTAAAAAAATAATTAAAATAAAAAATGATAAAAAACTGTTGAATGGGTCAATGATTTGACCATCTGAGTCAATGAATCGTTAACCAATTTAATTTAAAGGTTTTTAACTATGAACTGGATTTGAGGTAAAACAGAACCAATTGCCTAAATGATTCTCGGGCCTAACAGTTGGACTGTTCGAATCAACCACGAGTATATATATGTAAAATGTTGAGGGTACTTATGTCATTCTACATTTGTCATCAAGAGACTAAAAGTGTTGCCCAGAATTCTTGAGTTCATATATATAATTTCAGAGGCATTTGTATGATTTCTTTTCAGGCATGTGATTTTCTCTGATCAAACAGAAACAGGAACAGACAGGGCCTCTACAAACTACTCGGTCGTCATGCAAGTCTGAGTGAATCCTATTGACTTTGACTTGGCCAAAATTCCACGCTTACATCCTTGAACCGAAAATGCCAAATCCACGGTATCGGATGACTAAAAATCATTTGGTACGGTACATGGCGATGTACAAAGAGGGGAAGCCAACTAACCAGATATCAGAGATTAGAAGGGGAGGACTGAGGAGGGGGGGCTGCTGTAAATTCGGAAAGGACAAAATGATTGATGGATTTGTGAAATGTGAAGTGAAGTGGCGGTAGCTCCTTAAATTTATGATCTATAATTTCGCTTTGGTCGTCCGCAACTTTCTGCAACCCACGTTTCTCCTTGAGTTGGCTTTTTTTTCTTTTTCCTTAACCATCTATCTCCCTCTCTCTTTCCTCCGTTTTTTGTTGGAGACGGGAGAGTTAGAGAGTTGAGAGAGAGAGCGAGAGATCTGGTCGTGGGAAATTCGGTTGTTCTTGCTGTGTGTGGAGGATAGAAGCAGCATGTCGTTTGCAGGAACAACCCAGAAGTGCCAAGCCTGTAATAAAACAGTTCATCTGGTGGATCAGCTGACCGCTGATAACCGTATCTTCCATAAGTCCTGCTTCCGGTGTCATCACTGCAATGGCACCCTCAAGGTATATATATATATATATATATGTTTTTACCATAATTTCCTTCAGCTCAGTTTGGAAGGAGTACAAATGCAAATATGTAGAATGCAAAACCTTGTATTTTGTATTATTTTATATGTATTTGCATTCTAGATATTTGTATTTTCACTCCTTCCAAACTGAGCCGAATCTTTTCATTCCACCACTACTAGTGCAAATGCATCCTAGCTAACATCTGTTTCAATTCATTAATTTGTTCCTTTTCATTTTGTTGTTGTCTTTGTTGTTCAAAGAACATTATTTCAATCTATTTCTTCCTCAAGCGTCCCCATCAGCTAGTGTTAATTAATGTTGGGTCTCTGGTCTGTATTGTAGACCATGTATCTATCTATCTATCTATAAAAAATAATGATGGGTGAAATCTCTGGTTTCTACGTGCATTACGGTTCCTGAATTGAACATGTACAACTCCTCAGAAAAGTAGAAACAAAAAAAGCAAATCACCGTTAATGTTGCTATTAACTCTCATTTGTTGATTCTTAACTAATGCAGCTTGGCAACTTTAGTTCCTTTGAGGGGGTTCTGTATTGTAGACCGCATTATGATCAACTTTTCAAGAGAACCGGCAGGTTGGACAAGAGTTTTGAAGGTAATAGCCAGAAAACCTTGATATCAAAATGATCAACTCATTACGACCTCCATATTCCCATTTTCTAAGACTAGACCTTTTTTTTTTTTTTTTGTTTTTGAATGTTGTTTCAGGAGCACCAAAAGTTGCGAAATCAGAGAAACCTGTTGACAGCCAGGTAATCTACCTACAGTCTAGGGTGCATTATATGTACCAGTTCAACAGATGTTAATTAGTATAGATTTCCACGTTTAGAGTTGATTTGAGATAACAGTTTCCAAGTATCTTGACATATATATATTGGTTTGGCTTGAACAGAGTGTTGGCTCGAATAGGGTTTCAAATATGTTTGGAGGCACCCAAGAAAAATGTGTGGGGTGTAAGAAGACTGTATATCCGCTTGAAAAGGTAAATTAAGATATATAAGATAGTATTCCTTTTACCTTCAAATTAGTTGAAAGAGGTAGATATGACATTGCAATTGCATAGAATAAGAATAAGCAGGGTGTAGTTGTTTAATTCTACATACAGGTAACGGTGGATGGAAATGTCTACCATAAGATCTGTTTCAGATGCGTACGTGGAGGCTGTGTTCTTAGCACATCCAGCTACATTGCACACGAGGGTAAACTCTACTGCAGGCACCATCACACCCAGCTATTCAAGGAGAAAGGCAATTACAGCCAACTTGAAAATGACAAAGGCAGTAAGGAGCCAGCAACTTGAAAAGCAACATACAACTTCCGTTGAAGCTAGTCGCTGCTGAATCATCATCTTCTTTTCATTTAAGTCTCATTTTGGTCTCCCTTCTCCATTATTGCTTCACTCACTTAATCTTTTTCTTTCCCTATAGTCAAATGAATTTCAATTCTACGCTTATTTTCCTGTATTTGTTTTTTTTTTTTCTTTTATGTTTTCTCCTTGGGTTTCTTTCACAGTTTCACATTGTGGAAGCCAAGTTAAGAGATGGGTTTGGCCCATTTTCTTGTCATCATAATATGGAAAGTTTTATTATGAAATATTTCCATTAATTTCTTGACAGGTCTCTAGATTTTTAATAAAGATGAGTGGTCCGAAATGGCTTAATTTGTATAATCTCGTCCCCCCATCTTCTCGGTCTCTTCTATTCATTAGTTTGTTTCTTGGTAAAAATCAATGACCTGGGTCAATCAAGAACCATTTTTTGTCATTAATTAATACGATCAGAAATGATTTTGTTATCTTTAACTTATAGTAAATGACTAATTGCATAGAGATGAAAGCAAATGAAGGCAGCACAGTTGCTAGCTGATAACTCCCTGTACCAACCTTCAACTCTGCCCTCTATCCAAGGAAAACATCTTATAAGCACCTTAAACTACTTGCGGCTTGTGACTGGATTATGAATTGTTGCAAATACTACTACTAACTATCACTCCTGGGTAGAATAGCATGAATGGCATGGTTGGACTCAGTTTGGAAAGAGTACAAATACAAGTACTTATATACAGTGCGTACTGTATATGTTGTATTGTAAACCTTGTATTTGCACTGGGCATGTTTGTATTTGTACTCTTTCCAAATTAAGCCTAGGCTCAATATGAAAAGAGTACAAATACATATAATATAATTCTACTACAAGATTTTGCACTCTACATATTTATATTTATATTTATATTCCTTCAAAACTGAGCCTATAGTTACAGTTTATAAACCTACAACAACAAGATGCAACCGCTTTGAAGAATATGGGTATTTAGAATTTAGCTTATCGGAAAGGCTTCTGCTGGAAAACGATGGAGGTTTTATATTAGATGGTCGGAACGTATATCCATATTCGATACACAATTCTATTCGCTAGACTTTAGAATCGAGCTGCGATTAATTTTAGCTAGTCAATAATCTAAATTATATGGAACTTACCATATTGAAACATTATCCTAGTTGAGTCTAATAACTGCCAAGTTTATTGAAAAAATTTTGCTCCTCTTCAAGCTCTATTTTCATTCATGCAAACTTTTCTGCTCAATCACCTAAATTCTCTGACAAGTTCTTGGACTTGGAGGATTAGTAAAATGTTGATATTTTTAAAGAAAAAAGAGCCTTGACTTTACTTTTTTTCTTTCTTTTATAAATTTCAGAGAAATCATTATGAAGAAAAGTTTGAAGAGCTTTGATTTTATTATAGGCATAGCTCATGAATCTGATGACCTGACCAATAAGATATTAAGATTTGTGGGCCGCGCATACAACTAACAACTTGATTATATAGAAAATTCATTAGATGGAAATAGAATGGGACAAAGTTTTCCTTGTACCTATTAATAGAAATGCCTTGTAGCTAAATATGCTTTGCAGTCCAAAATGAACAATTGCAGTTTGGAACTCAGACTGAAGAGAAGTTTGAATTATTACTATAGGTCCGAATCTGAAGCCCTGCATGCCCAGGATCCTAGGCCAATTAGACAGAGAGCGTGGGAATTAATGGGACAAATCAGGATCTTTTAACAACCCAGTCATTTTTCGGGTAGCTGAACACTTTTTTCGTCTTGCACTTTTCCCATGCAGCTCTAGGATTTGTATTTCTTATGTTCCGTCAAAGGCAGTATTCTTGATATGGAAAAGATTGAGAAGAAGGGAGCAAAGACACTCCGGATTGTGTGCTATGCTCAACAAGCACAGAGACAGCAAACCATTTGTTTATACATTTCAATTATCTAAAATTTTTGGAATGCAAGTATGATTAACTGATTTACATGTGGAAGTTTCTTTCTCAGATATGCCGCACTTGTTTGCACTGTATTTGTCGTGCACTTCCATTCAGTCTGTGATAGGTGTGGTCTCAACTCTCATGTAAGGGGGTGCTCTATTTTCTTGTCTGTCCATTCACATGGCTTCAGTTCAGCCTTCAAGAAAATACCACACATTTCCTTTCTCAATTTGATAGTATTTTCGTGAGCTCTTACTCTTGATATATTGTCAGCAATTGAAAATTGAAAATGTCCAGTGCCTCGGTGTGTACGGGTACCGATCCTTCTATGATCACTCTTGGCCACACCATATATAGTAATGAAAATACAATATTTGTTAAAAAATAAATAAAAGTTTTGGAAGGTCCCATGAGCAACTAGAGCTCAGCTAGAGATAGCTGAAGAAAGGAGAATGGGTGGGGGGTCGTAGGGGAGGTCTTCTTCCTCGATGATTTGGGTTTCTCACCGCAATGATGTGGAAGGTCTGCACAAAGCTTCTGTACTTCCTAACTTATTAAAAAATGTTAAAAACTGTTTCTGTACAATAGTAGGGCGTTCTCCAGACTATGAGTCATGACACAGAGCAAGGACACATAATCACGATAATAAATGGGCAAGAGCATAAAGACTTGCAATTTTAACAGGAAGCAATGGCAACTGTGTTTGAATTACATGGCCCCATGAAATGAAAAAACCTGACTCTGCCCCTGCCAAATTATTCCTTTGCTCAGTTTGGAAGGATTACAAATACAAATGTGTAGAGCGCAAAACCTTGTATTTTGTATTATTATGTATATATTTGCATTATACATATTTGTATTTGTACACTTTCCAAACTGAGGCTCAAGTCGCCCTTATTTTCGTCAAATTACAAAGGTTAAGGAGGAAGGAAGAAAAGCTCATAGTGAATACACACGAGGGATAACTAATTTCCCCAATATTTTATTTAATACAAAGGTGTTATATACAAATATAAGACAACACTGAACCATTTACATTACTTTGTATTGATAATTACTAACTAGACATTTGATGTTGCTGATCCACAATAAAACAATGCTTAAAAGGCAGGATAGCTATATGGATCCTGATCATGAACCTGTCATATTAATCATTTCCGTTACTCTCCTTAAGATTCTGGCATGCCAGTATCAGGAGCTCCACCATCTCCAATCCAGCAGCAGAAACAGAATCAACCTTCTCACTCCAAGAGTCCCCAGAACCATCGCATGACACATCATTGCTATTTCCACCATGTGTTCCAGGGTCAGCATCAGCTGACCAGCTAATTGGAAGAGAGCTACTAAGAGCAGTCTTCATAAGTTTAGCCTCGGCAATAATTTCATCCAGGGCTTTAGGTGTACTGGTAACAGGATCTTGGAATGTTGCAGGGTCTTTAACCTAAAATGAATTTTGGAGGAACAAAACCTGTTAGTGAGCAGCAGCTTCTAAAGAGAAAATTATTAAAGTATGGCAAATATTTTGATCTCTAGTGAAGGATTAGCTAGTTGCTAGCTTGCAAACAGGGGAGACACCACAATAAAATTTATTCTAAAAACCAAGATGCTATAGTGTTAAGGTAGAACAAACCCAAAACCAAAATCGATTGGCAAATATTAGAGAACACAAAACTCAAAATAAAGGAACTCAAGAAAAGCACACAGATTTATGTGCTTCAGCTTATAGCCTATGCCCACGGGTGAAGGAGGAACAGAAATCCACCATGAAAACAGCAACAAAGAATACAAAATTGTGCAAGCACTCTCTCTCTTTCTCTCAAAAACCTAAACCCCTATACACATGAATTCTCTCTAACAGGCTTTTCCCCTCTATTTTCTCATGCAAGCCAGAGAGAGAAAAGAGAAAAGCCCCAACAACATAACATAACGTATTTGGGTCAGACTCATGCAGGTTGGGACATGGATCAAGCCACAACAAAGAAATCAAGGTTCAATTCAACATATAGCAATAGTAATAAAACAAGAGCTTATTGAGAATAATAAAAACACTGAACAGGATCCCGGAACAATGGGTCCTATAGGAGGATAAAACAATTTTACAATTTAATGAAGGGGAAGTAAAGGACCACTACCACTATCACCGAGTATTCTTAATAAGTGTAGAAGATGACCTTTAAAAGTGAGATACGGAGTCTGTGAATCAAAGAAGTCAGGTGATCCATACTTTCTAAGCTTTCTTTAAGGCTTGCATTTTCAACCTTGATCCTGTAACACGGACAACAGAGAATGAGCAAAACTAAGTTTTGCATGGAATTTTTTTTTTTCCTTTTGCTTCTTTCCTCCCTCGTAAATAATCAAGGAGTGCATGAAACAAACATATATTATCCTCATATTAAAAAGGTTGGGCACATTATTGGAGAAACCTTATAAAAAGGAGAGAAGTTAAATGATACAGGAATAATCCATGTTTAAAATGATTTTGGTTCTGAAATTCAGTGCCAAAGAATTGTTAAAAAAATAAAAAGCCTTGAGAAACAAGAAATAACAAAAGATTAGTGAAAAAACAATTTGCCCGAATGAACATAGACAAAAAGAAATGTTTGTACATGTGCTAGGCAACTGCATCAAAACGATCTTTTTTTTCTTAGTCTGATTATGATACTGGAAAGGCAGAATATCTAAAAAACTGACAACCAATCAACCTGTACCATAGAAGTGGTAAACAATCAGCATGTATGCATCAAAATTCTCCCACGAGGGGGGGGGGTCTGATTGGTCAAGTTCTTCCAGTATCATACCATTCTGGCATCATAGAAATTGCCCTAATATTTAATATACATCTTAAAATTTCCCTTTGATCAATCTTCTTTCTACCTCTTCTCTTACCTGCATAAAAGCAATAAGAGGACCTAGTATTGCTGTGGACTAGTGTTGAAAGGAAAACAAGGATATTGGGAAGAAAAGTAACAATGTTAGTATTTGGATTGATCTCACAGTGGTGAGAGTAGCATATTGGGACCATACATAGGAACTTAAGAGTTGATAAATAGATGCAGCTTGCAGGAAGGTGATTCTAGATTGTTTACAACCTGATAATGAAAGATAAAACTAAATTCTGTTGGCTGCTCTTCAGGTAATCCAGGGTCATCTGGTGTGAAAGGTGTATTTTAGAGATTGTAATGGATCCATTGTTACAGTTAACACCAGAGCAATAGGGGATGGAAATTCAGTAAGAGCTAGATCCTTTCTTTATTACAAGGCCTCATACTTCATCTGTTGCAGAGTGGAATATCTTAGAATTAGAAGGGGCCTTTAAAGTTCTTATTAGATGAATAATAACCAACTCTGAGGCCCCTTGGACCCTATGGCATCAGGAGTGAAAAATAAAAGCCCCAGGTGGCTGGGTATAAACCAACTCTGCGGACTCTATGGCATCACAGAGGTAAGTTTCAAGAACATTCAATGACACAAGGGAAGAGTAGGAAGACAATCCCTCGAGTGGAGCTCCAGGCCATCAAGCCCCAGGTATAACTTTATAAGCCAAAATGCTAGATTTAAAGTTTTCCATTAACTACAAGTCAGCATTTGCTGCTCTAGTTTCAGGTGTTCCCTAATGTTTTTCTTCCATCATTGATAGAATTGTTATGATCTTGTTTAAATAATTAAAAAAAAATTATGGAATAGGTTAAAGGACTTTTTATCAGATCAAATTCAACTCTCCTATATGAGATTGTTGATATCATCAACTATCAAGGTTTCAACATAGTTTTTATGTTTTGGTTTCAAAGTTCAAAGCTAAAAGAATGTTTTTTGAAAACAAGGAACTCTACACAAAAATTTGGTAATAATAACAACACATCATGCATTTTCTAGCAGCCATCATAAACCATTGATACTTCCCCAGACCTTGCAAAATCCACAGCTTGGTTAGATCTTTTATTGGTGAAAATGCCTTGATTATTTATGCTATCATCGGCTTCATTTCCACTTGCTTCAAGTCTACCAACCCAACGGCGCAGATATGTTTTCTTCAACAAGTTTCTCAATCTTCCATCTTTTTCATGAGTAGCAATGCTTCTGTGTCCAATGTTAGCCAAATGACTTCCCTGATTCATTTCATGACTGATGTTTCTGCATGAATGCATTACACAATAGAAGCATCACAAACAAAGGCAAGAACAGTAAACTCCATAGCTTACAAATGCAATGCTTATCATTCAAAATTTTAATGGAAGAATAAAATCATGAAAAAGAAAGAAAGAAATAGGGGGAAAAAAGAAGAAGTCCAAATATGCGAATAAAGATAGTATCTCAGAATGTAATTCTACCATGCAAGTTGGGGAGATATTTCATGTAAGATAAATAGGAAATGTTTAGAACAAAGAAACAGTTAATTTTGATTCCCACTACAAAGGATGGTATGATGGCAGACAGGGTCTTCTGTGAATTTTATGTTTTTACCAAGTAATTAGAAAGTATTCCTTAGCTTTGATGTCAGAATATGTAATACTTAACCTCCCAAATATAATGAGGAGGTTATCATTGTCATTCTGGTTTTTTGTCATTTCTCGCTCCTTTCTCCTCTCCAACTTCCTTTCAAGTCATCATCTCAGGGCAGGAAAAAAACAGAAGATGCTATCCATACATACAGGGGTGTCTGTGCACACGTAGAGATAGAAGGAAGACAGACAGATGTATCAACCAGCTACAGTTTCTCCTTTGTTTTAGGTACTCTACGACATCATGTTTCAAGCTATCTTTTTTTTTTTATACATAAAATTCACTTTTATTATCAATGAGAAATAAAAATTACAAGCAACCCATTGAGAGGCACAAGATTCTTCCTCTCCCTACAAGAAAGTTAAAACATTACATTTTAGCCCAATACAAACAAGTCCTAGTCACCCCTTGCTTAACTAAAGTATCCACCATCCCATTAGCTGATCTTCTCATCCATTGTATCCTCAAATTCATCCATCTAGTGAGCCATTTAAACTTTTTCATCTTATTCCTAAAGCACCAAATTATGGATTCTTGTATAAAGTTCATGCATGCATGACAATTTTATACAAAATCAGCAAGAGGTAATGGGCTGGGCCAGGCTGGGCTTTGGGCCTATAACTTCAACTATGAAATATTAAATGTATAATATAAAACATTGATATATTTGAAGTTACAAATAAAGTTTATGTTATACTTTATAATAATATGAAATAACACATACATATATATTATAATAATATAACAATAATTGTGGACCGGATGCCTAGACACAGAACCTAGGCCCAAGCCCAGAAACTTCTGAGTTGAGCTACAAATGATTACCCCTAGCAAGAGGCAATTAGTTGCATCCTGATTTCTCAAGGATAATCTTCCCCATTCAATTTAGTAGGATTTTTTTCTTGATTCTCCCCAATATCTTTGCCCTACAAGAAAATAATATATTAAGTAGCTGATTATCTTCAAAAAAAAATTGTGTTAAAAACTTTCCTTCAAGGTAATTACTACATTTAATGACATTATGTATAATGTTTTCCCATATCCACTCCTTTATTGAACCTTTAATAAGTGTATACTATGATTTAATATATAAATTTTCAAAACAAAAAGGATCCACATGCCGTACTCATGGAGAGCTTAAGATCCACTTGTTAAATTGATCTAATTTGATCTGTGATTATTTCAGTTCCACTTTGAAATTTGAACAGATGAAGGGGAAAAAGTTATAAAATAAATAAAAAAAACACTGTGGTCATTATGCTTGCAATTAAATAAAAAGGTCAACAGTGTCCCCATTGTGTCAGAAATATTCAGAGCCTTGTATTCAACTAGAAAACACCAAAGCCAATAAACACTTGGGGGAGGAAATCTTTTACGTCCATTTTTTTTTCACCTGGACTTGATTCAGTGAGAAAATCTCACTTAATCATGATAATGCAATTATTTAAGGAAACTCTCAAATAATCAATAAAATTTTGCTCAAATTTCCAAAAAATGTCATAATTGCAATTCAAAAAAGAAAGTCTCAGGTCTACTTGTCAAAGAAGAAATGAAAGAGAAAGCCTCAATTGAGCTGCATTGACTGTTTATAAGCATCCAAAAACTTGGAGAAGTTGAAGACAAAAATGCAGAGTTTAAAACAGTAGAATGACAAAATCAATCAAGGTAAGTTATTCATTGTTTTAAGTTCAATGACACAAATCATCCAAATCATGTTGTTGCTCTCTTCTTATGGTTATCAATTCATTTCAAATTATAACAGAATTTGTCAACACACATCACTTCTAGGAGCCACAAAGTTGTTTTGTTATAAAGATGAAAGGATTACAACTGGCTAATAGAACTAAACACATACAATAGTGTCATATTCCTAAACAGAAAAAGATACATACTCCTGAAGTAGTTGATATTCCTGCCTCAATTGAGCCAACTCCATAAGAGCCTTCACCTTCTCATTAGTCACCTGGATCAATCAATTAGGTGCTCATCAAATAGAAGATCCAGTTAACCAACTGGAAATGGTGGTTCTGTAGGGTTACATTTTTAACATCCAAGGCATAAGCAACAGGCAATTTGAACCTCTGTGCATAAAAATTACATAAATAGCATAAAGCAACTAACATGTTAAATGTGAAAAAGAACAAGACTAAACTTATTCATTTTTTGATTGGTAATTAAAAAGTTTCGTAGGAATGTAGGATAACCATAGGAATGATGAACAAAAAGAGGAAGAATAGTTATTATCTAAGTGATAATGTGATATACGATTTTATGAAATGTGACACAAAAATAAACAAAATATATCAATGCATCACTAGATCCTTCCTCCAACCTGTTGTGCTATCAATTTGAGACCTTGAATAACAGCCAACATTTCTGCTCTCAGAGAATTACCAACACATAAAGCTCCTGAAGAGCTTAGCAGAATGTCTCTTCCCTTGTCCCCACCATCCTTCCCATCTCCGAATCACCTGGGTTGCCCAAACAGCAACCATCAAAGTTGAACTTTTTTCTTCCAGCTTTTGGAGGTAGTCAATTTATGGCCACCAGAGGTTTCCAATTCAATACATTAGCCACAATATGCCACCCCCTTAACAGGTCACCATTTTGAATCCTTGAAACTCCTTACGCACCAACACCTAGTATGCAATTTTCACTTTAATCAGCTCAATTAATATTTCCACCTCAAGTTCTTTATTTTCAAACAACCTTGCATTTATTTGCCCATATTCTCTGTAGCAATGTTTTCAACCCGTCGTTGACCCAGTCGGTCGAACTGTTCGAACCGTCACCCGGTCAAGATTCCGGGTCCGATTCAGTCAAGACCCGCTAGACGGTCAAAAACTATTGACTTGGTCAAGAACCATTCAACCCGGCAGCTTCGACCGTTGACCCGTTCGACCCAATGACCAAGTCACGGGTTGCACACTCAATGCATGCAAACTTTCAGAGGCCATAACTTTGCACTCCAATGTCTAATTGGGGTGATTTTTTTTTTTTTATTTTGGGTAACTTTTCGAAGTCAATGCATCCCAAGGGGCCATAGACGCCTTACCCCACTGTTTTCATGAAAAAAAACCCTTTTTTTACCTCAAATTGCAATTTTAATATTTTTTATAAATAAAAAAATTAAAAGCTGAATTAAAAAACATAAATTAAATATAAAATAATACATACAACATATCTAAAACATATTTATACATTATTTATTGCTAAAACATATATTTATACACATATATACATATAATACACATATATATATGTATATAAATATATATACTTAATACATATATGCACTGACGTGGCACGGTCTGAACCATTCGACCTGGATAGTCGAACCGTTGACCTGTGACCTGGAGGAAAAAACGGTTCGACCTCCGGGTAGGTTTTTAAAACATTGCTTTGTAGAATCGCAGCCTTAGCACTATGCCATATGAAGTCATTTGTAGGAACCTAGGAGTAGATAGGTGATAAAATGAGAGAAAAATAGACTAAGATGAGCTGGTAACGTGCATAGAAGACCATCAATATCACCAGTTAGAAGAAGTGATTTGTTACAAGTTAAAGGGGCTAGAAGGGCTAGGGGTAGACCAAAAAGGACATGGGTATAAATAGTAAGCAATGATTTAAGCACTCATAATTTAACAGTAGATATGGCATTAAATAGAATGGATTGGTGAAACAAGATTCATATAGCCGACCCCAAATAGTTGGGATAAGGCATAGATGATGATGATAATGACGATGTTGATCTCAAAAAATCTTGTGAGAAGAGATCCACACCTAGCAAGAAGGGACAAGCTAGAAAAAGATGATTAGAACTTTCTCCACTCTGAAGACAAAGAACGTACACATGCAAGGATAGTACTATGACTTTATTTTCCTTTGGAGTCTGTCACAAGTATTGGTGATTTGCAAGGAGGCTTCCCAATAGAAAACCTTAACTTTCAAAGGTGAAGTACCAATCCAAATTGCTTACCATGGGAAAAGAAGAAAGAGAAGATTGAGAGTTGGTGAATTCTAGTTGTTTAAGGAATGAAGGAATTGAAAAAAGTGCCACTACGACAAGAAGCCCACAGCTTTTCATAACCCCAAAAAAGAAGGAAAATAGAGCTCAATTTTTGGATAAGGTCCATAGATTCAGATACTTCCCTCTCTTCCAAAACTCTCCTCAACCCAGGGTTCTAAGAAAGATTTCCATCAACTAAGGATACCAAGTCCACAATATATTCATTTTTAAGCAAGGAGAGATTGGACAATCTAGGATAGGATTGGAAAAAAGGTGAGTCTCCCCAATAAAGATCTTCTCAAAACTTCACCTTTCCCATTTGAGGATCATATCTAATGTGCCAAGAGAAAATAGTTAGATGCCCTTGGGAATCTAGAGATACCTAATTCCCAACTATTAGAATTCAAACCATAAATTTTCTTGATAACCAAATGCCACAAAGCAATGTTGGAAGACTTGGACTGAAAACAGAATCAGAAAACTTGGCAGGTCACAAAGTTGAACAGTTTGACCACAACTCATAAATAATATAATAATAAATTTTATGATTTTTACCATGTGTCTAAGAGGTGGTCAAATGGTTAAGGTGTTGTATTTTGATACAACTGCCCAAAAGGCATGTAGGACATTGGTAGTATATTAACTCACATGACCAAGAGGTTTCAAGTTCAAATCTTCCTATTGGCATTTTGAAGTTTGTAACAATTTAGTGACCCAAGCTGGAAAGCTCCTAGGTCTCACAGTTGGACTGACCAGTCCAATCCAAGTCTTACAACACTGCCATAGGTTTTTTTTCCCCTTGGGAGAATCTCATAATTCAATGTACATATGTTGTTATGCTGTCTGCAAGTAATACTTTCTAGTCCCCTATAAAACAGAGAGACCCACAATCCCCACATAGAAGTTAACCCTTCTATGCAACAACTTTCTAGCTTCATTCTTTGCTTGAACTAAAGCACCAATCAGCATTTGCCTCCTCAACAAAATTGGGGGGCGGGGTGATTAGAGGTAAGTTTGCATGCTTCTATAACTTGATAGGTCCAGAAATAGAACCAAGCAATAATGACTTCTGACCAATAACCTTAATCAGCAAGATGGAGGTTGTAGATGCAGCAGCAAAGTACGTTTAGTGGGGAAGATGGAGGTTGCACTGCATGTGAGAAAGATGGGGAAGATGGAGGAAAGAATGAACATGTTGAAGGCGAGCTTGGTTGGAAGAGTGGTTGGGAAAGACATGGAGGTGGTCCAAGCAAAGAAAGTTGGAAAACTGGGTGGTATTGGAGTGGGGGAAGGTAAAAAAATAATGGGGGTTAGGAAGCTGAGTGGAGGTCTACTGTTCATATTTCATAATGGACAATTGGAGTGGGTCTTAGAGTCAGAAACATCAAAGAATAGAGATATCAACCTAAGACTAGACTGGTGGTTCCTAGCAACAGGGGAAATTTCTGCTAGAAGGTGGAGGCATGCGGTTTGGATTGGGGTGGTTGGCATCCCTCTGCACGCATGGAGCATCTTAGCCTTTAAAGAAATTGAAAACCATTGCAATTGATTCCTAAAGTTTGACAAGAAAAACAGGACTTGGGAGAAGTTGGGCCTGGTGAGGATAATGATTGAGGTGGTGGAGACATCTACTACCCAAATGTGATGGTTCTGGTTTTTGCGAGGGAGAAATATATTTGAGGTGGTGGAGACATCTACTTCCTCAATTCCTCGATTTTATCAGGTATGAAGTTTGTTCTGGCAACTCTGTCCATTTTTAGGAGGATATTTGGGTAGGAGACACACCTTTAAAGGATCTGTTCCCTTCACTATTTTCTGTTTCTTTGTACAAAAAAGAGGTGGTCTCAAAATTTGTCT